TGTTAATATTTAATTAATTAAATTCTTAAAGGTTTACTTTATTTATTTTTATTTCCTTTTAATTTACTTCACTTTTTTTGTTTGGTTACGCCTAGAACCTGGATATTTAAGTAAATTAAGAGACGGCGTAACACTGTCCTTATGTTTTAGACTTTACCACTACTGATGAGTGGAATTTTTGTTTTACATTCATAAGTATTATTTAAAACATACATGAACAGTAATCAGTGATGCTTTCATATTCAAATGTAAAAAATTACGATATGTTTTCACATGTGCCCACTTACTGCACAAAGTGTACAAACGTTGGCATTCCCAATCATCTCGCTTTATTTATTTAACATTGGTGGTTAGCTACTTCTAGTGTTCCATTTATTAACATTAATTCAAACAGACATATTTTTTACATTAATTTTACTACAACAATAACCAGGGTCTTATTTTCTTCAGTTTCAAGTGGATAACTGACATTATGGGTGTAAACACTGACAACAATGCCATCTCTTATCCTCTTGTGTGTTTTAATATTCTACGTATTATTAATGAATTGTATTGTTCATTTTGCATATATAAAGATTAATTCAATCAAATACATATTCAGTAAAAAACAAAAATGAATCTTTTGTGCACATTATTAAAAAGATAAATGACGCGGCATCCTTTAATGCCCACGTATATGTTGGAGTTCCCAATCCATCTCTTTTTTTTTTTTGCCATTAGTGGTTAGCTACTTCTATTGTTCCATTTATTAACATTAAATAACATTACTTACTACATATTTATTCATTTTTTTACATTAATTTTACTACAGCTAAAACCAAGGACTTATTTTCTTCATTTTCTCGTTTACAACTATCGTCCCGGACTCCTGGCTGTAAGCATTAACGAAAACAATGGCGTCCCATCTCCTCTTGTGTGACCATATTATTATTCATTCATATTGTATAAGGTGCATTCATAAACATCATTTAAAGAATATAGTTTGCAATTTTCATTAATTGTATTGTTTTGGGGGGAAAAGAGGGTAAAAAGCCACATAAAAGATATGAAAAGGTCACACTTGGGAACCCATCTCATTATTATTGCTTTATTTTAATGGTAATAAATGATTCGCGATACGATGATTCACCTCACACTGCAATATTGGAGGACACATTACCGTCGTTATTCGAGGCTTTACTGTATAGGGTGATATTCTAGCAGGTGAAGATCCTCTTTTTCATTCTTGTTGAAAGCCAGGATACCGTATATCACGGCTTATAAGACGAAATTTGAACATTAAAAAAATCTGCCCAAAGTTAGGGGGTCGTCTAAACCACCAAGTTTAAAATTCTTACCTCTTAAATATTGTGGTTTAGTGTGTCAAGAGTGGTGATGAAAACATCATAAGCCACTCACAAGGTCTTACCACTAATTATTTTATACTGAAACTTATGTTTGGCAAGCTGGATTCAAATTAAGATTACCGGTATATTAAAATAATAAAAATGTATTATAAACCTGTCTAACATACCGTAAAAGAGATTTATACCCCTGTAATAAACACAGCTATCATCACACATCCCTCCCCACGCCCCCCCCATTTGCCAGTGAGGAGACAAGAAAGGGAAAGTGACCGCGAGATTTGGTTATTTTTAGCCGTGGAGGTGGTCAGTAATGCATACCGGTATCGGTATATTTACTCATAATAATATTTATCTCCTATAAATAATTGATTTAAATTTTATTTTTTTACAAAGAATATTCAGTAAATGAGTGCATTAATTCTTGAAACTATCGACGGTTAATTACAGACGCTCAAGTGACGTCACTAGTGTTTACACTACACCAGCTGGTAATAAATTAAAGAAAATAATTACAGTGTGTTTAATATATTACAGTATATTATAAATAAATAAATAAACAAATAATTCGGTAAATCTATTTCAAGTAAATGGAAAATAAGCAAACATGTTATTTACCAAGACGCGTCCCTCAGGGTGATATGGAGGGGAGATAACAAGGCTATTTATAGCCCGTCTGAAGTGGCCAGTACCCTAATGCACCATAAATAATTCATTGAACATTCATTTTTTGTACATAGTGTATATATATATATATATATATATATAATATATATATATATATATATATATATATATATATATATATATATATATATATATATACATATATATATATTATATTATATATATATATATATATATATATATATATATATATATATATATATATATATATATATATATATATATATATATATATATATATATATATATATATATATATATATATATATATATATATATATATATATATATATATATATATATATATGTGTAATAAATGTATGTAGTAAGTACATACTGGTAACCTTTTTCACTAAATCCTAATGAAACATCACAATTAGAATACGGTGGTTGCTGTTGAACCACATGTTATAAATAGTCACACCACCCAGACGAGGGAACACTCCCACCACGCTTCAGTGACGTCACTAGTGTTTACACTACACCAGCGGGTATAATTTGATGACATTACTTGAAGTGAATTGGCCTTATTTTAAAAAATCAAGGATGGTTGGTAAAGGACTACTGAGTCAGTGGGTAAGTGTCACATTTGGGGTACTGGTCTTATACAGCAAATAGAGCTCAAAAGCTACTTTTTAAATGGAAATTTGGGGGGGGCGTCTTATGCACCCCTTGCTTATAGGCCGTGATATACAGTAGTAGCCTCCTGCCATGAGGCCAGGAAGGCACCCTCTTGTCATATTCTGTTATATAGTAGGTCATAGGCAGCAACCAAACAGGGAAGATATTGGAAGCATTTTGTATTGTCTAATGGTAGACCCTGCTGCCATATGGCATTACGAAAATTGTGACCAAGTCCCAGGTTGCTGATCTATCTCTCTGCCTCATTTACACACAATTACAGGGTCTCAATTGTCTCTCTTACTTTTGACAACACAACAAATATAACCGTACTCATTCTTGATCTGTTTTATTCATTCTATTTTATTCTCCTATGTCAGTTGATACTAATATTGAAGCGGGACCTTCTCGGATGGGTCCCACTGGTCGGGAAGGTTGGACAGAAGAAGAGCCACCCCAGATATGAGAGCAGTACTCCAAGTTAGGATGAATGAATCCCTTATAAACTTGAAGCAACTGCTCAGAAGCGAAGTAGCTACAGGATCTGTACAGCATTCCCAGCTTTTGGGAAGCAGCTTTAGCAATGTTGAGAATGTGTGGTTTCCATGACATATTAGAGGAAATGGTGAGGCCAAGCATATCTAATTTAGAATTTGGCAAAATGATTGCATCCTGAAATGTGATTGGTGGAGCATATGGTATAGGTACGTTGGAGGTGAATCTTGCAAGCTATCGCCGGCAACGGGGAAGTGATGGGCTATAGGGTACACCACACTTGTCTGAGACAAGGATGGCTGTGCCTCCATGATGCTTCTGTTCTGGATTTTGAAAAGAGTAAAAAGCCAAATATCCTCTGGGAAGGGGATGATCATGGGCACCTAACATTGTCTCCTTGAGATAAATGCATACGTAAAGAGTTGCCAGACAACATCAAGGTGATGTTTCTGCCACCTAACACAAACTAGCTCATCCAACCCAAGGATGACGGTGTCATTTAAACCTTCATGGCTTACTACCTTCAGTGCACGATGAGGGAACTTGTTCACCAGACTGCAAACAACCACAGAAACATCAAGGAATTTTGGAATGCCTTCAACATTAAGAAAGCCATCGTCCATATCAACAAGTCTTGGAAGGAGATGTCACAGCAAACCATGAACGGCATTTGGCGCAAGATTTGGCTCGAGTGCGTGCACAGTTTTGTAGGATTCGGTGATGTGGGAACAGTGAGAAAGTGCAGCAGGACGTTGTTAACCTTCCTCAAGAGACTGGGTTTGAGGAGGTGGACAGGGCATACCAGTATGTTCACGATCTGCTTCAGTCACACATCCAGGACCTCACCAATGAAGAACTCATGCAGCTTCAGCAGCAGAGGTTTCATGAACAAGTGGAGAACCAGCCAGAGAGCTACCTGAGACCCAGTTCACTCTCAAGGTTGTCATTGAAGGCCTTGACCTTATTCATAAGGAGCTCAACTTTTTCCATACCAAGGACCCTCACAAGAAAAGGAGTGACGAGGCATAGTGTGGAGAGAGATCAGAATCTACATTGAGGTTCAACAACAGCTGAGGAGCAAGTCCAGATAACCCACCATAATCCTCCTCCTTCAGACCCATCACCACCTTCAAACTGCTTCCTGCATCTTCAGCTTTCAGTCCAACTCCTTCTACCAGCAGTTTTTCTTCCACTCCTTCCATCTCTGGTATGACAGTGGTGTCCTTGGCAGACAGCTGTGTAAGACCCTTACTCAGCCCACATCTGCTTGCCCTCTTGTGGTGGTGAGCTCAAACTGCCTTCCCGGCCCAGATTGCCCTCCCATAAGGTAATGTACCAAAGTTAAACAGGATCTTATTTTTTTCATGTGTTAGGTAGTAAATTATAATAGTTATGTACTATTTACCATTAGTTAGGTAAGTTTTGTTCTTGTTTGTGAACCGATTTTGTGTTTTGGGGTATAACATTGGGGTATTTTTATCATTGGGTAACCAAATCCTATTTTTCCCATATGTTCTTTTATTTGAGATACAAAAATTCACTTCGTTTTTTTTAAACCTAACCTATTCATATTCAGTATCAAGGGATAACTGTTTTGTAAAACATGGGATTTTAGTTACAACCCTGCCCATACAAATCAACAATAATATCTCATACATAACAAATAATGTAAATTAAATACAGTACTGTACTGTAATGTAAGGTTAAAGAATAATGAAAGTAATGTAAAAAATGAGATTTGAGCTACATATTTTTGAGATGAATATGTGTATTGGGATCCCATTCATAAGTTGGGATTCGTACCTGTAGTTACCAATTTATTAGCCATACATAAAGTAAATAATTATGTCTTACCTTTGATCTGCAACATTTATTTTCTGTCTGAGATTTTTGTACCATTCTTTTATCGCTGAAGGTCTGAGGTCAATGCCTTTTTGTAGTGCATGAATTAAGTTGAGATTCAGACCAGTGCTTGGAACAAAGTGATGAAATATACCACGCCATTCCTTTTTGGGCATCAACTCTCTGCAACATTTAAAAGAAAGTTCGCACAGATTAATATGCAAACACTGCCAAATATTGTTCTTTTTATCTACAATGACAATCTTGAAAGTATCCCACACAAAATCTTTTATAAATTTGCTGTGATGGAACAGTTTTCTAAAATTCTCAGCAATCATTTGCTTTTAGGGTAGGTAGTGATTACCTCATGGAGTAGTGACTGCCTTGCCAGCTAAGAGGGTTGAAAATAGGAATGGAATCCAGCCATGAAGCTTGCTTCAAATTTGTCTGATGGTAACTAGGACACCATTCTTTTGTTATCATGGCTAACCATTTTAAGCAAGGAAAGTGGCTGTAAAACAGTAAAAATCACTACGACACTTTGATACAATGTTTTTGGATTATAAGATATTTTTGTGACTTATGAGTCATCAAGTGTAATCTGTAAATTATAATACCAATTAGCACCCAAAGGGAGAGCTCATTGCCCAGTGTGTGTGTGTGTGTGCAATACAGTACTTAGCATGTTATGCCATAACTTATCAACTTGAATTTCATTAAAGATTAATACAGTCAACCCTCGCTTTACGCGGTCCCACATTCCGCGTTTCCACGTTTGCGCGGTACCCTGCCGAAACAGGAATGCTCACATTCCGCGGTGCGTGTACCCCTTTACGCGGAGAGCGGCTGGCGACCCGCGCCATTTTTGGATTCAAACCTCCCGCCATCCGTCATGTTGTGTAAGCTGCGCGAGCATGGTGCGCACAAGGTCGCCCAGTCATCAAAACATTACCGAGTTCTTCACCCGCCACCCACCACAGCCGGCCCAAGTCAGTGATAGTGATAATTATAGTGAAGATATGGATTTATATGGACTTTGAGGGGTTTGACAAAGAGGCCCTGCAAGCCTCTATGGTGGATAGTGATACAATTGATACAAGTGATACAGGTGAGGGCCAATAATCTGCCCTCTGCCTCGGAACCAACCGCCCATCCCCGTGTGCCCAGCCATCTTTTCTACTAATGTAAGTGTTAGAAACCTAATATTATTGATATTTCTCTTAATTATTAATTGTTTGTGCATACCATCATCAAGTTAAGATAATATTTTTACTACAACATAGTTGTGTGTCGTCAAAAAGTGGAGTTTGGGGGTCGGCCCGAACTCTATTTCAATTAATCCCATATGTTATGTTATTCACTTTACGCGTTCCTCACTTTCCGCGGCACCCTGTGAGTTATATTAACCGCGTAAAGTGAGGGTTGACTGTATACTAATGAGGGCACATATGGCACAAAAAAAAAATGGCAACTCAGCACAACTTAGTCATGGGTTCAATCAGAGCCCTCTTTTTATCCCAACAGTTCAGGAGTGAAGGTTTGGAATTACAACAAAAGTTTACCATAATAAGCGTGTAGGTTCCATAAGATAAATTATATTAAGAGAACAAAGAATAAACATAATCCTTAATAAACAACTATTATTGGCACTGTGTATAAACAATAAACCACCTTACTACACAATAATTGATTGCACTTTACACACCATGAATAATAATAGAGCAGCACTGGATATACAGTAGAAGTCCAAAAATCTGGACTGCTTGGGGATTGGGTCGGTCTGGATTTTCGAATTTTCCGGATTCTCAGGCAGTACTTTTAAAATTCAAATTTAAGGAGGAATAAAGAAGAGATGAACAGGTACATTTTGATAGTTTATGCATTAGCAAATATAGCATGCTTCATTTATCAAAACGAGCAGTTTTAAAGAAAAAGCTGTGAATTCTAGAATTGTATTCTTTGCCTTTTTTATATCATAAATTGTAGACTTTCCAATGTCGTATGTTTCCATTAGAACAGTATTGCTCACACCACGTTCTAGTTTCTTAATTATTTCAAGTTTGTCACTCAATTTCAACGTGTTCTTCTTTCTCTTCACACAAAGAAGTTTATCTACTTTAGGAGCCATTATTATGGGCTTGTACAGTACTCTGTAAATGGAAAGAGTAGGACTCAAAATTACATACGTTGTCACAGTTTGATTGCTTGGTTTAACGAGGCGACTGCGTGGTCGCTTGTTGTCGCTGTGCAGCTGTGGTGCTCACGCATGCGCACATACACACAAAAGCCAGCTAAATTTAAAAAAAAAAAAAAAAAAAGTTTGAGTTTTCGAAAAGTCTGGATTCTCGGGTGGTCCGGATTTCTGGCATCCGGATTTTTGGACTTTTACTGTACAGTGCAATAGCTCACCTGGGACTAAATGTTGGATTTGGGGGAGAAAACTAATTATTTTTCGATAATGTTTTATTAAGCAGGCTCCAAATGAACTAAATAATATCGGAATTATGGTGACAGTGCGGTCCGGGAGGCGAGTTGTCCATTTGTCCTCCCTCCTCCACCACCCGCCATTTCTCCCGGACTACGCACCCAAATGTAGTTTTGTACAGTATCTTAATACAGTATAGTACAGTAATTCACATTCTATTCATATAATTCATTAGTCAGTAATTAATGAGGAAACCGCTACCACCAGAAGGAGTTGTTCAATTTCGTTCATTTTACCACAGATATTCATTATACACAGATGTTCATGATACAAATTATATATAATTTTTTCTTTTATTTAAAATTCAGTAAGGCGTAAAAAGGTGGTGGAGGTTTGAGGAGGGGGGAGGGGGGAGGGGGACTGACCGCATACCCCCCAAAAAGGTTCATCTTCTCCTACTCCTCCCCATCCCTGCCATTCCTATTGTAATAACTTTTACTTTTTTATTAATTAATATAGATATGTTTACTGTAATAATCTGTGCTTATTAATACCTGTACCCTTCATATACAGTATAATACTTTATATAATGTATCAGTACTGTGATGATTAAATAAAAAAAAAAGGAAATTTGGCAAGGGCTAAGCTTACCCACCACCTACCCTCCTCCCAGTAGAGAGGTCTGGGTGAAAAAATTGCTTATTATTTGGCTTGTCGTGTAATTTTTCTGTCAAATTAATAATTATGCATCATATTTTTTCTAATGTGTTTAATATTTTATATTACCAATGATAAAAAATACATCATAAGAGGCTGATCATTGGTGAAAAGGGGAGTGCCAGTTTCCCTGCCTGCACCTTGCCTCCCTCCAACTCACAGTATCTCACACAAAATAATATAAACTAGATGTAGTGTGAGTGTGTGTGTGATGTGGTGCTGGGGTATTAATTAATGAATAATAAATAAACAATATTGTATTGTTAATGACAGTACAGTAGTTTGATATTATATTGCTTATTTATTAATTAATACCACAACACACCCAGACACCCCCATATTGTATAACATAAATTTATGAGTGGTTAACTAATGCACAAGTGTGTGACTGCATGGTTGCGAATTAAAATATCAGCTGTCGATGAGCTTAGTGCTTGGCAACACTGGTGCATGTTACCAATCTTTTCCACTCCAATTCTTTAATCCCCCACACCTTTCTGCTTTCTCACTCCATATTTTAAAATATTATATAGTGTAATGCTGAAGGGATACATCGTTGCTTATTTATACTTATTTATCACAATCTCCCCAAAAAATACTGTACTTTAACTTTCATGTTTATTCAAGACATCTTCAGGTCCTGAGACCCACTAATTCTCCTTCTAACAATGGGTGACCTGACATTGTATCAGGTCAGTAATATGAGACCACTAACACCCTGCCCTACCTCCACCTGACATTGTTTCAGGTCAGGTCAGTTACATGAGACCCAATAATCTCTCACAGCTCCATGGGAGTGGAAAAACCCAGTATTTGCTGTAACACACAGCTTCATTTATGGCCATATCATATAGATTTTTAGTTTTTAAATATATTTATTTAACCAAACTTTTAGATAAACTATTCTGGATTATTTTAGTAAAAAAAATGGAGTCTCTAACTTAATTAGAACTGCTTTTACATACTCCAGTAGTTTAAGCTCTTGGAAAACTCCCCAGCACACAGAAACATTCTGAGGATGTGGGCTAGTGTCGGTCTGTGCAAGATGTCAAGTTTAGACACTCGGAAAGTATTCCCAGTAACCAAAAATATTTCCAGGGATGGGTAATTTTTCCGGGTTTGAGAAAGTCGACTGGTTAGCCGGAAAACTCTCATCCCCGGAAGTGCTCTGCACCAATTGTTCCGGCTAATGGGGATATCACAGTAGCTTGATTTTTATGCCTATGTTTGGTAAAACTGTCAGCCTACTCCTGCAGTGAAAGTGGATATTTGACCTGAACCTCAAAGTGTTTGATATACCGGTACGTAGTTTTTTTTTCCTCTCTTTTGATTATACTTCTATAGGGTCTCAGTGAACAGTTCCAGGTGGGTGTGGAGTTCTCACCCTTGAGCAACTTTAATAAATCATGATGACTGTCTTGACCCCTTTAAGGAAGCTCATTTGTCATATTTCTCTGATACTGTTGGTCATTTCTGTATGAAAATGTTGTTTATTATACTTAATGACATTTTATATGTTGCTTTGTTATGATGATCCCGATATTTTAAGATCTATATTGTTCAAAACACACATTACAGAGTTCAATTTTGCTGACTCGGCAAATTTGAATTGTTTATTAAGGACGGATTTCAACAAGGGAATGAGATAATGTATATGATTAGTTTTTTTTACTCCACAGTATATATTATGTGTTGAATAACCCTTAAGCCCCGGGTTGGGGTGGTGTAGCAGCAACCCCCCCCCCATGCACAGATAAATCGAGAAAAAATCAACCTTAAGAAAAATAAATAAAAAATAAATACATAAGTAATTGGCGGGGCATGCTGGTAGGCCGTTCTGGAACGTCACCTGGGGCCTAAGGGTTAATGACTAGATAGTCCAGTATTTTCTTGATTTAATGAACTATAGTAATTCGAGACAACCCTGTTCGTCAAATCAAAATTTCTGCTAAATCGAGCTCTCGGTCAACTAAGTATACACTAGAGCACCTTAGCTTTCATCTTTATTCAAGACATCTTCAGAGGCAACTGAATTTAGAGGGATAGAATGTCAGGCCACCCATTCTTGGGTGGGAGATTATTGGGTCTCATTACCTGAAGATGTCTTGAATAAATACATAAGCTAGTGTATATTTTGGGAGATTGTGACACATAGGTAGTAGGCAGCTACCAAACAGGGAGGTACTAACACCTGGGAAGATATTGGAAGCATAATGTATTGTCTAATGGTAGACCCTGCTGCCATATGGCATCACAAAAACTGTGACCAAGTCCCAGGTTGCTGATCTGACTTTCTGCCACTACACACAATTGCAGGATCTCAATTGTTTTTCTTACTTTCACAACACAACATACATATACAGTGATCCCTCGGTTAACGAGTGCCTCGGTTAACGAATTACCTTCCATAAGATTCTTAGCTTCGGTTAACGAGCATTCCCTCGATTAACGAATTCTTAACGAGCGCCCCTCCACATGTTTTCGCTTGCATTTGGCGGTCCACCAGCTGTAGTATTAGTCCGCCAATACAGTAATCGGTTCTAGGGCTTAAATTCCTTACTATTTTAGTAAATATCAAGAAGTTTGTACTATTCAATAATTTTAAAAGTTTTTAATAATTTTTTTTAGTCATTTTAACAATTATTGAACATAGCTGAAGTACAGTCAACCCTCGCTTTACCCGGTACCACATTCCGCGTTTCCACGTTTACGCGGTACCCTGCCGAAACAGGAATGATCACATTCCGCGGTGCGTGTACCCCTTTACGCGGAGAGCGGCTGGCGAGCTGCGCCATTTTTGGATCCAAACCTCCCGCCATCTCTCCCGCCATGTTGTGTAAGCGGCGCGAGCATGGTGCGCACAAGGTCGCTCAGTCATCAAAACATTACCGAGTTCTTCACCCACCACCCACCACAGCCGGCCCAAGTCAGTGATAGTGATAATTATAGGAAGGATATGGACTTATATGGAATTTGAGGGGTTTGACAAAGAGGCCCTGCAAGCCTCTGTGGTGGATAGTGATACAATTGATACAAGTGATACAGGTGAGGGCCAATAATCTGCCCTCTGCCTCGGAACCAACCCCCCATCCCCGTGTGCCCAGCCATCTTTTCTACGAATGTAAGTGTTAAAAAACCTAATATTATTGATATTTCTCTTAATTATTAATTGTGTGTGCATACCATCATAAAGTTAAGATAATATTTTTACTACAACATAGTTGTGTGTTGTCAAAAAGTGGAGTTTGGGGGTCGGCCCGGTCTCTATTTCAATTAATCCTATATGTTATGTTGTTCACTTTACGCGTTTCTCACTTTCCGCGGTACCCTGTGGGTTGAATTAACCGCGTAAAGTGAGGGTTGACTGTATAGGAAGCTAGTTTTTTGCGCACCAAACAGCCTGTCAACACACCATACAGGCGTCAGTCTCTGTGTCTTTTCAGTGGAGGTAACATATTGCTTCAGTCTCTCTTCAACATAAATGCTTTTTTTCTGTGTTTCCAAGCAAATTATTGGTCAATTTGAAATTTATTTTACATATTGACAATATATAATGCAGTGCAGTGTTGATTTAAAGAAAATAATCTTGAATTACACCAAGTGAACTAAAATTTTATGGGTGAAATGGCGCCATGGGGTGACTTCTCTTCTCCCTTCTCCTCCACCCCCATTCTAATTCCCATCATCATCATCATCCAGGAGCCTTCTACATACACACCTCAAAGTAAGTGTACTTTACTACCTTTTTTGTTGACCTTAGGCAATTTTCAGTGAGCTGGAACCAATTACCCAAAAAACCATTGAAACAATGGTTTCGGTTAACGAGCAACCTTCTGGAACAAATTGTGCTCATTAACCGAGGGACCACTGTATTGATTCTCACTATTGATTTTTTAATTTTTGTATTTATTTATGGCTCTTTATCATGGTTTTTATTTTTTTTATTCTTATTATTAATACTGTATCTTCTTTATTATAATTGTTATTTATTTTTATTGATTTTTATTAATTTTATTAATACAGTATTCTTATTCTTATTATAATTATTTTATTATATTTTTGCTCCCCAGGACGTGATGTGGGTCACTATAAAATGACCTGGCATTTAATTGCAATTCTCAAAACCCCCTCCTTCACCCCCCACCATACGCATCATGACCTTCATCTCTTGCCTCAGAGCGAGCAGTAAACAAAAGTCAACTCTTGAGGGGTGGAGATGGGTGGGTTATCGGCGTCGCATTCCGAGCTATATCACAAAAACTGGTTTTTAGACAAAAACGACTTTTTGTTCAAGTCGGAATGCGACGCTCAGCAAGAATACCCGAGCAGGAGGTGGAGAGGGAGGTGACTTTGCATACAAGGCAATTCTGAAGATCCAATCTGGAGTGCATGGTGTTACCTGGGGAGAAAATCTTTTGGCAACAATAAATCTCAGCATTTTGCACCTGAACTTTAACTTTCCCAACATAACCAAGGGGTACTAATATTGTAAATGGTATTGGTCTCACTTAGTTCCCTAAAGGTTTCAGTAGTCAGATCTCAGTCTTGGGTTTAGTGGTCTCAATTATCTCACTGTTAAGTACCTCACCTTTCAGTTGGAGCATTCCATGATTCTCTCTTCTCCTCTTCTGGCACATACCACAATTTTTTGTGACTACTGCCTTTATCAGTACCAAATGTTGAAGACACTGACAAATTCCTGGAGTTAAGCAAGCCATAATTTGGGGAAATTTTTTGTACTTGTTTTAGTTGACACAGCATCATACGAACATCTGCACAGAGAAGAATCTGAAAATACTATAATCATTATTATTGGCACCAAATATGTCACAGTTTAACATTTTGGGGTGAACCACTGACATTTTTAAATACTATTGTACTAATGTTCATTTCACATAAATTACATTACAAAATTTATTTTTTCATACAGGTGAACATTGATGGAGCTTTAAATTTTTGTTTAACAACGTCCAAAAAAAAAGACAATGGGTGGATACGCAGTTTTGTCTGGCTACAGGGAGTTTTCAAAAAAGAATCTGAAACTACAGCCACTCCTCGACTTACGACCTACTCGATTTACGATCACCCGAACATACGACAGCCCCAGTCGTACCCAAATTGTTTAAAATTACGTGTTTTCGAGTCCAGACGTTAGTGATTGCGCTATGTACTGACAAATTTTCGTTTGTAAATCCCTGTAAAATGGCTGGCATGCTTGAAAGTGAGGGTTTTGTGGTGCTGAGAAGAAAAAGAGACACCCATTTTAGATTTTCTATGTACAGTGAGTTCTGCTATAACGCGTGTTTTGATAACGCGAATTTGCTCTAACGCGATTTATGAATTCGGAACAATATTTGTATAACGCGAACGCTTGTTTGCTATAACGCGATTTTTGCTTACTATTTCTCCAATTTTGTGGTATTAACTGTGAATATGGTAAAGAAGAATATCTCCAAAAGGCGTTCTGATGATAGAATTCCCGGTGATTATCGTAAAAGAAAGGATATAACACTTGAAGAGAAGCTCGATGTTATCAACCTCAAAATCACCCTTCTCCCCCATCAAGTTACATTCATATTTTTTCAAGGTAAAGTGTTAAATTTACTGTATGATTTCATTATTAGATATGAATGTAACATTTATTTAGACTGTGCTATCCTTTGTGTTAGGCTAACTACTAAATTTTTTCGATTTCGAGTAATCTGCACCTAACCCTATTTTCTCCATAAGCCCTGTTATTTCTATTACGCGATTTTCTATAACACGATATTTTACAAGAACACAATTATCGCGTTATAGCAGAACTACCTGTACCGGGAATGTATTATCTTCGCATTTTCGACTTACGAACAATGCAAAATCAATCAGAAATGAAGGATTTACTGTGAAATCCCATTTTACATTTGAGCTCTGAATTAGCAGATCATGCACTGCATAAACATAACACTAAGAATAATACAGTAATAACACTTGTGACTGGGACCAATGTTTTGATCAGTGTACCTTCTATGTTGTACCTCCTGCTTTGAAAGAAAGAATACAGCCGCTCCCTGACTTACGACGGAGTTAGGGACGGACATCCAGGTCGTAAGTCAGAAATGCTTAAATAACACATATAGAATCGAAAATGGGGGTCTCTTTTTCTTCTCAGCACCACAAAACACTCACTTTTAAGCTTGCCAGTCATTTTAAAGTGAATTACAGATGAAAATTTTGTCTGTGTACTGACTTTGGGAGTCGAAGATACGTAATTTGACCAAATTTTGCTATGACTGAGGCAGGTCGTAAGTGCGGGTGGACATAAGTCGAGTAGGTCGTAGGTCGGGTAGAAACTGTAAAGAAAAAAGGTTCTAGCTACCTCTGGTAAACTATTAGACAAAGGAAAATAGTATTGAAAGACCCAGAACAAATTGCAAAAGTAATTATTTTAATGTTATTCAACTTGATCACATGACTCAGATGAAATAGTAAAAGTATAACTGAATAAAAAAAATTGGGAACACTGTCTAAATCAGGGGTGGGCAATTATTTTTGATGGAGGGCCACTTCATGAATGGTGGCACACTTCGCGGACCACACACTTAATGTGTATTGCTGCTATGTCCACTCAACTTCCAAAATTTTCCTTTCTGTAATTAATAAGAATTTTTTTTTCTGATTGCCAAATGCAGTGGCGGGCCACAGAAATAAATTGGCGGGCCAAATGTGGCCCGCGGGCCGTACTTTGCCCACCCCTGGTCTAAATGCATGAATTCAAAATAGCCATCAAATAACCGAGTTATACCTAGTGGAGCTGATTTTATCAACATATTTGTTTTGTGACACAACTTGTATAGCCACTCCTCGACTTACGACCTACTCAACTTACGACCACCCGGACATACAACCACCCCAGTCGTACCAAAAATTTTTAAAATTACGTATTTTCGAGTCCCAACGTTAGTGATTGCGCTGTGTAGTGACAAAAATTTCCTTTGTAATTCCCTTAAAAAATGGCTGGCAAGCTTAAAATGAGAGTTTTGTGGTGCTGAGAAGAAAAAGAGACCCATTTTAGATTCTCTATGTATTATTTTCTTATTTTCGACTTACGACCTGGATTTGGGTCCCTAACCCCGTCGGAAGTCGAGGAGTGGCTGTATATATTCCACAATAAAGTAAGTGAGTGAACATGCTACCCGTTTCACTGCTACGCCCATCCTTACATTTGATCAGCCATTATAGCTCAAGGCACTTATGATACAAGAAAGCAGTCATTCTGAAAAATTTCATTAAATCTATTGTATTGCATCTTGGAGGCTTCCATACCCAAATTAGTTACCTTGGATATATTAGTCACATAATGTCAGGGTCTGGGCTTCAGGAGTTGTTAAAAACTGTCTATGCCAGTAATGCTGTGCCACACATCCTCAGTAGTAAGACAATTGCCAGGGCTGGCCGTGGGTATCTTCTTGTCAGTGCTGCTATCCACATGCTACTTGTAACAAAGGTCTTTAAAACTGTGTTACCAAACAAAGCAGAGGTTGTAGATGCACTAAATGATGATTCAGTCTCTGTAGATGATGATTTGTAAAGCAGTTCACCCGAGCAAAAGCAAGCTCCTCCAGACATACTGAAAAAGCCCAGAGACTTTATGATGACCTGATGGCTGGAATAATCACATTGGAAGATGTAGAGAAATCGGCCACATTTGAACAGATACAGAATCAGCTTGATATGGCCAAAATCACGAACCTCCAAGATTTGGTTACAATACTTAAGAATGATTTCTATTCTCCAAGCATTCATCAGGGTTGAACACACAGGAAATTGTATACTGCATCTGACTGTGATGTGAAAGATGTTACCATTCATAGCTGCTTCTGGTCATAACCATTACACCAAATCATTTTTTCTGTATCTGCAGAAAATAGATCATCTATACTCTATATGATCTATTTTCGGCAGATTCTAGAGGAAGAACATCCAGAAGTCTATCAACATTTCCTATAAGGCTTCCATGTAGTCAGAAGATCAGCTAGGTTCTGGACTGGGTTATCTCCTGACCTTGTCATAGAACAAGTATTGATGCGACGCCTCAAGTCAACAGGTGGAGTGACTCATGGGCGAGGTATGGGTGAGACACAACGTCTGGTATGGCTGCTTTCAAGCAGCGTCACATCTGAAGTAAACTTAACAATGCAAGAGATGTTTGCAGTCACCCAAGAAACTAGCGAGCATAACATCGACACATGATTGATTGATACGTTTATTGAGATACAAAAAAACATTAATACATCTCAAAGGGATGAAGTGACATAAGTCATCCTCACCCCAGTCATCGACACATCATATACCAGAATGATAAGGGATATGTCTGATACTCACAAGATGGTTAGCTTCTTGACTTCAAGGAATCCCTTCACAGATAATCACAAACTGTACAGTTTGGTTACTGGGGTGGCAGCTGATGAGTCCATTAATGCTGACCAAGCATCAGATGTTGGTAATAAAGTCCTTCAAAACATGATTGAGAAAATTGTAACACAACACTCTTTCAAACGTAAAGAACAAGTGATCCCTCTCAGCAGCAAGAATGCTATAAAAATCAAAGATAATGATATCATCATTGATACCCGGCTCATGTCCAAAGACTTGTTACTGTAGGCTCACAAAATGGCAATCTAGCCGAAGCACTTGAATATGAACTCTGCAGTTATCCACCCGCACTCTGAGATCAGGATAACTCCACGACTCACAACAAACTCTGCATTGGCTGATGCACTGTGGAAGATGATGCCACCTGATATGCCTATTCCATTAAGTGATGTCCAGTATGTACTGGATGGCGGTGCATTGCTCCATAGAATAATGTGAAGTCAGGGAATGACATATGATGATCTCTGTCAAGCCTACACAAGGTATGTCTCATCTCATTATGGCAGAGCCATAATCGCATTTGACAGATATCCTGAGGGACCATCAACTAAAGATATGACTCACCAAAGACAAGGTATGAAGTATGTTGGTGCTAGTGTATAAGTATCTGGTTCCATGGTGTTAATAAACAGAACTTCATCTACCTGCTAGTTGATCATTTGACTCAATCAGGTTGTTGTGATAAACATGCCAAAGCTGATGCTGGCTTGGTTATCATGCAGAATGCCATTGCTACTGGTCATAAGACTCCTACTAAGCCTACAATCGTGGTTGCTGATGACACAGATATTCTACTTGTGTTAAGCTGGCATATGACACCAGAAACTCCATCCATATATTTCAGACCTGAACCTCATCAAAGCAGCAAAACAGCCTCAAGATGCTGGAATATGTTAGTAATGCAAACAATGCTTAGTTCAAAAGTCTGTGATAACAGTTTGTTTGTGAATGCTACTCTAGGGTATAACACCATGTCTTCTTTGTATGGTGTGGGCAAGATGATAGGTCTCAAATTAATTCACACAAATAAGGTATTCCTGGAGCAAGCACAAGTGTTCTCTTAACGTGACCTGTACACAGGCAGATAGTATTAAAGCTGGGGAAAGTACATTAGTTCAAATCTACAGAGGTCTCCAAGGTTACACATTGAATTTTCTTTGGTTAGAACAATTCTACCAAAAGGTAGGCAGTAGTACACAGCTAGGGTAGCTACTTAGGTATTAGGATATTTAATTTTAAGGTAATAAAATGGTGGCGAAGGTGTAGCTATTTATTGGGGGAGGCTGGAGGCCAAATAAAAAAAATAAATAAAAAAAGTAGTACCCTGTACATCATTTGTGAAACCTGAAGTGCCCCCATCTTCACCAGCTGCTGCAGCATATCACAGTTTGTGTGTATATTTGCAAGTTCAGGAGTGGATGGATAATGCAACTAGTATCACCAGAAGATTGGGGATGGTACAGACAGGGTGACAAGTTTCTTCCATTTCTCACAGACAGACCCCCAGGTTCCACATATTTGCTTAAAGTAGTCAGATGTAACTACAAAGCTGGATGTAATACTAGACAGTGTACATGCTGCAAGAATGGAATCTATTGCCCCACAGGCTGTGGCCGCTGCAGAGGTGTTTGTACTGACATGTCACAGTCAGATGATGAGGATGTTGATGAATGAATAATCAACTCCAAAGATTTTCTCACTTACCTATGGTATACACATAATTATTATTATTATGATTCAATTTCATATAGTGGCCCTAATTATCATGTTATGGTAGATTATTATGTTCTATACAGTTCATAGTTTTCCACAGTGAGGTATTAATACTGAATAATGCATTTATAATATAAAATCAAATTTTGCTTATTGTCTTTTTATAAAATTTTCAAACAATACAGAAAAAACACAAAGTTACTCAAGTATCATAATTGATTATCCAATTTCTAATTGGAATATGATACAGTAATACCTCGGTTTACGCGGTTCTCGTTTACGTGTTTTGTCATTTACGCGGTACCCTGCCAGAACCGGAATGCCCAATTTACGCGGTGCATCTACTCATATACGTTAGGTTAGGTTATGTTATTTTTTATTTATTTTTTTTACATTGTTTGACCTTCCATTTTTTTCTCATATCTCAACTACGTACTGCTCATTTCTGACAGCAATGAAAGTCATATTTGTATTTAACATGATGATTTATACTATAAAAACCCATTTTGGTGAATTTATAGTAAAGCACTTAATTTTCTCTCGCTGTTATTAATATGTATTTCGTATTGTTTAGACGTTTCTAAGACATTTTTCTTCTATAATATTTCCGCCTGAAATTAAGGATAATTGAAATATTAATTTTCCAATATTATTACTGTATATTTGGTCAGTCACAAGTCTCGCCATTTGTTGTTTACATCTCGAGGAGAAGCTCTGAACCCCCTCAGCCAGTGCTCCGTTACCTCCGTGTTCGCTTCCTAAGCATCTACAGCGCCTGTGCAGGGGTGGTGTGGGAGTTCGTTACTGGCTATAGCGAAAGGAGACTTATTATTGGGCAAGAATTTTTGTCTTAGCCAATGAACAATGAGTGGAAGCGTCGTGAGCGGAGATTTGAATTTTCAGTACCAGATATGGCTGAACAGGTTGAAGAGCTGTGTTGACATTGTGATAGAGATTATTTTACGTCAATTGCGGAGTTTCACCAGAAAAATAGTGAAGGCATTTAATTTTTTAGAAAACATGGTTATCTGTTTATAACAAACAATAAACACGACTTGCCGCACAGATTCTGCATTCAAGCATCCCGCCTGTATCCTCCTCAAAGTGACCGACCACCACGAGTACCACTTCAAATCGATTCAAACATTGACAACCGAGATGAACCTGATTCTTCTTCTGAAGGCGCTCCCAGTTTAAGCAGCCAGGCCGAGTCTGTTTGGCCACCCCCCTCCCTCCCCCTGCTATATCCCAACGCCCTACCAGCCTTACTACACCGGGATTTATTCAGCAAAACATTCAAGTGATCAGTGAATGATTGACTACCAAACAGTGTTCCTATAGTGCACTCCAAGGAAAAGCACAAAAACACAGCAGTGTAATACTGAGTGTGGCTGGATCTGACCTAACCTGACCTGACCTCACGGCTTCACCTGACCTCCTGAAGGATGGAGCACACCTGCATCGCCCCAAGCTACTGTCCTGGCCACGTGGCCACACACCTGCTCAACTGCATCCAGCCCATACGAGCACGAACTGATTGCTATAAGAACAACCCAGTCCCAACCATTGTAAAAATTATCAACACCTCATTATTATACTGTATATCATATTTGTATCACTTATGTTACTTGTATATCATTTGTAAACCAAGAGACCCATTCCCCAATAATGTAATAGCATTTTTTTAGACTTCCGGCTGCCATGCTCTTTCAATAAACTGTTAATTATTATTATTAGGTTAGGTTGGTTCGTTGGTTTCTATTGTTTTGTATGGTGCTTTACATAGAAAAAAGGGGCAGATTAAGTTACGTAATATTTCTGTCTGTATTAGATATGTTTTTCCTTAGGTTTTAAACGTTTTTTGCCTTGTTCTCCATTGGAAATCACCTACTTCTGTGATTTACCCAACAAAAAATCCAATTTTGACAGAGTACTGCATCAGAGGCTTCTGAGAAAAGTTAAGGCTCATGGTATCGAGGGGAAAGTTTTAAATTGGATAAAATCATGGCTCACCAATAGAACACAGAGGGTCAGCTTAGATGGTGTTAAATCTGAGTGGGGCTGTGTAACCAGTGGGGTTCCCCAGGGGTCAGTACTGGGCCCATTCTTGTTCATAATCTACATAAACAATCTACAGTAGATACAGTGGTCCCTCGGTTAACAAACACAATTCGTTAACCGAAAACTTCGTTAACCGAAACCATTGTTTCAATGGTTTTTTTAGTTAATTGGTTCCAGCTCACCGAAAATTACCTAAAGTAAAAAAAAAAAAAATACAGTAAAGTACACTTACTTTGAGGTGTGTATGTAGAAGGCTCCTGGATGATGATGATGATGATGTGAATTTGAAGTGGGAGGTGGAGGAGGAGAAGGGAGAAGAGAAGGAAGTGGGGGTGGAGGAGAAGGGAGAAGAGAAGGCATTGGGGTGCAAGAGAAGTCACCCCATGCCACCATTTCACCCATAAAATTTTAGTTCACTTGGTGTAATTCAAGATTATTTTCTTTAAATCAACAACACTGCATTGCATTATATATTGTCAATACAGTATGTAAAATAAACTTCAGAATGACCAATAATTTGACTAGAAACACAGAAAAAAACGTCTATGTTGAAGAGTCTTAAACAAGAAATTCCTTCCTCTGAACCGATAAACAAACTGACGCCAAGCTTGGTGTGTTGAGTGGCTGTTTGGTGCGCAAAAAACTAGTTTCCTGTACTTCAATTATTTTCAATAATTTTTAAAATGACTAAAAAATTTAATATAAAACCTTTAAAATGATTGAATAGTACAACCTTCTTGATATTTACTAAAATGGTAACGAATTTAAGCCCTAGAACCGATTACTGTATTGGCGGACTAATACTACAGCTGGAGAACAGCCAAATGCAAGTGAAAACATGTTGGGAAAAATTCGTAAGGAATTCGTTAGCCGAAATTTTTTCGTTAACTGAGGTGAAGAATCTTATGGAAGGTAATTCGTTAACCGAAATTTTGTTAACCGAGGCGTTCGTTAACCGAGGGATCACTGTACTGGGATCAGCAGTAACATAAGCAAGTTTGCTGGTGACACCAAAATAGGGCAGCAGATTAATTCAGGGCAGGATGCAAATGCACTATAGGAGAATTTAAATAAACTGCAGGAGTGGTCAGAAAAATGGTAAATGAAATTTAACACCAGCAAGTGCAGCGTACTTAATATTGGTAGAACAAATACTGTCAATGTATACAGACTTAACAACATCAACCTAGAGAAGTAAACTTGTAAAAGGGACTTAGGGGCACTTGTAAACCCGGACCTACAGCCTAGAAAACAGTGCATTAATGTTTGAAATAAGGCAAATAGAGTATTAGGTTTTATATCTAGAAGTGTAAATAATAAGAGTACGGAGGTCATATTGCAACTACAGTATATCTTGCTCTAGTCAGGCCGCACCTTGATTATGCTGTTCAGTTCTGGTGCCCTTATTATAGAATGGATATCAATTCACAGGAGTCGGTGCAGCGAAGAATGAAGAAAATGATTCCGGGACTTAGAAACCTTCTATATCAAGATAGGTTAAAGAAATTAAACTTGCATTCCCTAGAAAGACGAGGAATGCAGGGAGATATGACTGAAGTATTCAAGTGGGTGAAAGGAATCAATAAAGGAGATATATGGTAGGTAAAGTTCTTATAATATCCAAGCAGGATAGGACTCAAAGCAACGGATTTAAGTTGGATAAGTTTAAGTATAGGAGGGAGATAGGAAGGAACTGGTTCACATATAGGGTGGTAGACGAGTGGAACAAGCTTAGCAACTTTGTAGTAAATGCCGGAACACTGAAAAGTTTTATGGAGAGGCTAGATAGAGTCATGGATGATAGAGAGAATCCAGGTAAAAAAGTCACAGGAAAAAAGTCTACAGAAAAAAGTCACCTAACCTAACCCAACCCAACCTAACTTAACCTAACCTACGTGCATCAATATGCAAGTCATGTATTGTCAGTTAGCTGTTTTAAAATATTTTTAGTTTTATTACCTTAAATGTGACTTTTTTTCCTGTGACTTTTTCCTAGCCAAAATTGTGACTTTTTTCCTGTGACTTTATTACCAATCACCAATAGAGAGTGGTTGTAACTCTAGAAAGGAGCTGCAATGTACAGGCCAACCGGCCCATTGCAGTCCTTATTTTCTTATGTTTTTATGTTATCTTCCCTTAAGATTGTTGAGGGGAGGGGGGGTTATCTCAAAAACGATCGATTTCCGGCGGAAATGAATATTAAATTCGTTCGAAACTCATCAAAAACCATAGTAAAAACACATCTTTAATATCTAAAGAAAGAACAATGCTTTTCTATAAAATTACCCCCATTTTCAAAAGTCAATTAGGTGGTGGCAACTACTAAATATTTACCCTTAATTTCCTAGCCCTGGGGCAGACCCTCTCCCCCGTCATATTAACAGAATATACTTAGCCAATCAGAGCACACTCACGGTAAAACTGCTTTCGTAGCAACTTAGCAGGTCACGGCAAAATATCCACTACGTTAACAATTTACCTGTGCATATCACAGTTTGTGATATATTATTAAATACCTTGGTAATCATACCTTTAACACACACGGTGACAAATTTGAGGTTAATATATAGGACTAACCCGCCGGGGCTGCATAGTGTCGTTGCGGCCGTATCATCTCACGTCCAGAAAATACTTCAAATTTCACCATACCATGGAAAGTTCTTTCTGCTTAATATACCGGGGAAGTTAGGTAAGGTTAGGTAGGTTTGTTTGGTTTGGTTGGTAAGGTCTGTTCTTCATATCCACAAATGTTAAGTAGCGTTTATTTTAAAAATATATATTTTTTAACATATTTCCACAAACTACAACAGTGTTCACTATAATATAACAAAGAGAATCCGGCGTTTTTTTATAATTGTTTTCAATCAATTTCGCTCGCGGGTTAGTCCTTTATAATTACCAAAATAGATGAGTCAAATTAGATGTTTCTTTACGGCAGTTTTACAACCTCTCAACTATCTTCACTACCATCACAACGTTTGAAGTCGGCTTGGGAGGGGTCTAGCGATCAGCTGTGTGAGTAAACAAACAAGTCTTGCCAAATAATGGTAATTCTTAATTTATCATTTCACTAATCAGGTCACTAGCCTTTCGGGTCGTTTTATTTTTTATTTTGTTCTAAACTTTATTGTTCAGTCTTAGAACAGGAGAAAACCGGAGTAAAGTAGGATCACAGTGGGTCAAGGGATGCAGTGGATAACACCAGGGATTCTATACAGTATGCTTAGAAGGGTGACTCACTCCACTTCCAAGGCAGTGATGCCGTTTATTCCTCAACTCTATGACGTCAATTTTCTTTACGTTTTCTTTGGGTATTAATTGACATTAAAGAGCATAAATTTTAGGTATAACTATTGTAATGTCTTGGCAAACTATAAATATGCACATACAAAAACCCTACAATCATATAATAATATTATAACATAACATGGGAACATTAAACACTAATTGAAAAAATTAACAAACAGAAGTTAGCATCCTCTGATTTGGTGTAAAATTTATACATCCACCCTGGAATTTCACAGCTTCAGACAAGGCTATTAATGTATTAATAGAGGGAGTTTGCAGAGCGTTTCTGGATTTTGTTTTCATTAAATTCAATCTAAAAAATAGTTTCGCTGCATCTACATTGGAAGTTGGAAGAGACAATACCTGCACTGCAAATGTACAAAGATCCTTAAATTGGGAAACGCCTACACCTCCCTTAAGTTTCCCTAGTTTTGTATACTTTTACTTTTTACTTTTATCCTCTTCGCCACTAATCGGCTTGTTGGCCGCTTGGGCGATCGGTCACGTCTCTGATTACTTTTCCTTTTCATTTACCTTCTTCACCAAAAGATCGGCTCGCTAGCCGCCCGGGCGATCGGTCGCGTCTCTGTCACGCACTGTTGGCAAATACTGGGCATACACCGGCTCCTGAATGTACCTGAACCTGTTCCAGTGTTGGTCAAGTCTGGTCTTGAAAGAGCTCACACTTGGTGTCATCACAACATTTTCTGGTAGATTGTTCCAAGAGTTCACAACTCTCACTCCGAACAAGTTTGCTCTCACAGTTTTCTGGACCTGCGGCTTCTTCAATCTTGAGTTGTGACCCCTTGTGAGGCGAGCGTCCGCCAGCTCCAAGTAAGGACACTCAACTGAGTAGTGCTCCTTGAGATGCTTATATACTTCAATTAGGTCGTCACTTGCCCGTCTGTAGTATAAGCTAGGCTAGGCAGGTTCAGGCGCTCCAATCTCTCAGGATAGTTGAGGTGCCGAAGTGCAGGTACCAGTCTGGTGGCCCTCCTTTGAACATTTTCAACCAACTGACAGTCCCTAGCATATCTCGGGGACCAGATGGGGTGACAGTACTCCAGATGGGGAAGCACTTTACTCTTGAAGATCGCTACGAGTGACGGACCTTCTTATAAAACCCAATAATATATTTGCCTGATTTACCTTCTTCTCGCAATGGCCCGAAAACTTCAGCTCATTGTCAACATACACACCTAGGTCCTTCTCACATTCAGTCTCAAATGGTGCAGTTTCTTCACCCCGTTGGGACATATGATACGCCTCCTTACCGTTGGTACGCCCCAGGTGCATCCTCTAACACTTCGTGACATTGAATCTCAGAAGTCACTTCTTTGATCATTCTTGGAGCTCACAGAGATCCTTCTGCAGCTCTTCACAGTCCGCTTGGTTCTCAAATTCCCGAAATAACTTGGCGTCATCGGCAAACATTTGTATGGAGGAGTGTACAACCTCAGGCATGTCATTTATAAAACAAACAAACAGCGGGCCCAATACACTGCACTGTGGTACCCCGCTTGTGATGTAAGGGGCACGTTTTCCCTTTATCTCCTATTTCATCTTTTTATTCTCTTCAATACTTATATACTTATATTCTTGTCTATATTTTCTATTCATCTTTTATTGGGTATATATACTAATAATTCTATATTCTGAGTCTTTCTCTATATAAGTATCTATATTATATTTCTTTGCTTATATTTTCAAAGTCAATATTCTTTTCTTTACTTCATTCTCCTTTCATATATATTATTATATTTTCTGAATTTTATGCCCTTACTTTCTCTCAATTATATCCTGTTTTAGTTATATTCTAAACCATGGATTAATCTGGGAAACCATGTCATTCTTACTATAGCACTTATTATATTTACAACGGTAGCCTGCCACCACCCAGACTTTTCTTAGAATATAACATATCTCAATGAACTGTTCGGTTGCGTGCTAGCGAGTTTCTAGGCACGTGAGTTACAATAGTTCTTTTCTGAGAACCAATGGGTAGAAGGAATAGAGTGGTGATACTCGTTGTTTACTAATTCAATATTTATTAACATAAGGAGTAAACAAGATGTTAATCAAGTACACTCAGACCAGACTGGACCACTTAGGTCTTCTTTACCATTCATAAAATAGATCTTTAATTACTTATTACATCATTAAACAACTGTTGTATTATTTCTTTGACAAATCAGATGGTTATTTTAACGTTCAGATAGGACTGGACCCTCAGGTCTTACTTTTACAAGTAGCAAAATAGATCTTAAATTCTTGGTTACAACATTAAACTATCATTATATTATTTCATTGTCAATACAGATGGTTCTATGACACACTTGACAATATCCCAAATTAACTTATTATTTATAATATCATGTTAGTTCGGAATGAACAACATGGCACTTTTCCCTCAATTGATTGATGTACTCAACTCGCATAACATATTTACTGATACTATCCATATTTATGGGTTCACTACTCAACATGGGATAACTATATTTCTGCTAATTATCCCCAATCATATACAACAATAATACTTTGGCCCATATAACCGTAAGGAGTGGCCCTGGGAGTCACACTGGTGTCACCACAACTAACGAAGAGTGCTGTTAGGGTCGGTTGGAGTCCGATACACTGCGAGGGAGTTCGGGCCTAGTTCCCAGGGTGTGGACTCGCACAGTTTAATCCTGCCAAATTAACGACATCTTCCAATACAGCCAGCTGGTAAGCAGCTATCGGTCCCCCGGTGACTGTCGGGTATTCAGCTAACACACACTGTGCCTGAGATATGATGGACAGCGTCAGAGATGTCACAAAAATACCTCAATCACCAACAATATTTCATCTAGCAACGACAGACGATGTTTACGTTACATTAATTCTTTCACTGGGTAAATGATAATTTCACTGTTACAACATGAACGACCTTCTTATAAGACCCAATAATTTATTTGCCTGATTTACCTTCTTCTCGCAATGGCCCTAGAACTTCAGCTCATTGTCAGCATACACACCTAGGTCCTTCTCACATTCAGTCTCAAATAGTGCAGTTTCTTCTTCCCGTTGGGACATATGATACTCCTCTTTACTGTTGGTATGCCCCAGGTGCATCCTCTTACACTTCGTGACATTGAATCTCAGCAGCCATTTCTTCGATCATTCTTGGAGCCCACAGAGGTCCTTCTGCAGCTCTTCACAGTCCGCTTGGTTCTTTATTTCCAGAAATAACTTGGCGTCATTGGCAAGCATTTGTATGGAGGAATGTACACCATCAGGCATGTCATTTATGAAACAAACAAACAGCGGGCCCAACACACTGCCCTGTGGTACCCCGCTTGTGACAGGTACGGATGATGAAAAAATTTGCCCTCACAGTCTTCTGGACTTGCGGCTTCTTCAATCTTGAGCTGTGACCCCTTCTGAGGCGAGCGTCCGCCAGCTCCAAGTAAGGACACTCGACTGAGTAATGCCCCTTGAGATGCTTATGCACCTCAATTATAGAAAGTAAATCGACAGACTAAGTTACTTTACACAGCGGTGTTTGAAAATGAGGCTACGAACTCATTACAATCTGCCAAGTTTTCCTTCTCAAACTAAGTAGTGACTGAGCTCCAAAAGACAAGAACAAAACTGACGACAAATTCTTAGAACAGCAGTGTGCGGGGGAGAAGGTGGCAGAGGCAGATAACTTGACTTTCCGTTAAACTCGAGCGATAAATACGTTTTGTGTTTGCATTTCAGACAATTATCTAACTTCTATAATGCAAGACTGACAACGCCTATTTTTCTATCGGATTCTCTGATGTTCATATTTAAAAACAAGATGACTTTAGTTACGAACGGTACATGTGATTTACAGCTGGTAAACAGAGTACTCAACACATAATCTCTTAACACAAAATACTCTACATATACTCGACACATATATACTCTTTCTTCTCACGGTGGGTGTACCCAATTGACTGTATAATAAATTCATTCACTCACAATTTTAAATTCCCTGAACATCCCGAGTCAATTAAAAAAAATACCCAAGTCTCTGAGCGACTACACAAAAAGAAAACGGAGGACTAAGACATCCTGAAGTGGATAGAATAACGGACGTCTCTACTGGGGACTCAAAACGTTTCACATGTTTTGTGGGCGCTGTAGCTTAATATGAATAATTAAGTGTTGAACGGACTAACTGCACAAACGTGACCATGACACTGTCGAAATCTTTGGCAAAACCTAGGTATATACAGTAATGTCGATATTGTTACCGCCACTGAAGCAGTAGGTACTGTACGCGACGTCTGGATAAGAAGACCCGTGCACCTGGACTCAATTATGTTTAATGGTCAAAACCTATAAATACATTGATAATGTTAATACATTACTCGTGATTTGTGGATTACAAGTCAGGTGACAAATAACAGTTTCATATCGTATACAATGGTAACGGCATTCACTACACACTTACGTGATAATTACAAAGACGTATACAGTACATAATAATATCTCCCAATACATAACAGTTTAGAATAATAAAGCTTCGTATGAGAATAGACTTACGTGTAACGGGTCCTATAACTAGTCTGTATGTGACACTCGTAATGCGTCCAGCTCGACAGCGTGTCTTGAACTGCCTCACTTAGGACTATATGGAGCAGCAAACCTCTGGTGTGTTCAGAGCGATCAGTTGAGAAACACTGCTATATGTTTTCGTTCAGGCGGCCATTGCAACAACACTCTGTCAACAGCTATGTGCTGTTTCAGCAGCCTCATTCGTCAACTGTGTGTTCATATCAACTATTTTTTCCTGTTACCGTTATCATAACACTCACATATATTATCCTAAATTTCACCATACCGCCCATACAGTGTGGACGATAACAGCCTAAATGCACAAGAGTGCCCCTGCCGAGGCTGAGGCGTCCAGCACTTCAGGTCTACG